AAGATTTCTGGAGAAGCCCAGTTAAGACTTTTCTGTGGAGAAAGGGGGTGCCACGACAGTTCCAACAATCAGTCATTTACAATTGATGACATGGCGGCAGTTCCCAGAACAGAGGTGTGCGGGGGCAATAGCACTGGCTGAAGGAGTCACAGGACCAGTCTTGAAATTGAGACTCTAACTTTCAGGGAGAAGAGAGTGGGGACAGAGTGTGTGGGCTCATGGGCTCCCTCTGGGGCAGAATGGGAGGTAGCTGGGTGGTAGGGAGCTCAGAAGGACTGTTGCAATAGTTAAGGAGAAAGGTAATGAGGCCAGAGGTGGTAGAACCAGAGAGATGAGAGAAATTTCTCCTCACTATGTGCCCCAGGATTGTATGGCCCTGGCCACTTGCAGGCAACATGAGTGAATGAACTACCTGGACCAGGTGACAGACACATGATGATGACATGTACACAGCATGCTGAATGTACACAGCACATACTCTTCCTTCAAGACAGGCTCCCTGTCCTTCTGGCAGACCTTCCCAGGGACTAACCCATCTGCCAGGCACTGTGAGGTGTGCTTTTTAGATAGACACTAGTTGACTTAATCTTCCCAAACTATGATCTCCTTGAAGAGATGAGGAAATTGAGGTTCAATCCAAGGTTAGTCAATTTAGGCAGTGGGCAGATCCAGGGAGTTGGGTTTCACTTCCCCTGGCCTGGTACCCTAAGTGCCTCACCCTAGACATCTGGTCAATGTGCCTTCCAGCCAACTCCTTAAGAAAGTCAAGTCTGGGGGCAAGTGGCCCTAGGTTGGGGTGTCTGCCCTGCACACCCAGAAGAGTGAATGAAGTTCAATGAATACATGCCTTTCCCAACCTCACCTCATGCCAACTCCCTGCCATAATTCTGGCCTTTCCCATACTGTCCAGGGAAGTCTGGGGAGGGAGGACAGAGGCCTGGTTTCTGTTGGACTTAGACTTCCTACCTCTGTCCAGTCCACCTTCTTCTCTCCAAGGCCTCAGAAAGGCAGATCCAGTTTCCAGGCCCAACTCTGCTCCTAGATGCATTTGAGGGCCTCAGGTTTTCCACTGGAGAATGGACTGAGGACACCCAAAAGTTCAATATGATGCCCTATGCTTCATGCTTGGGACCATGCAGAGGAAGGCACAGGGTGCTAAGGCCATGGAAAAGGAGATTGGTGGCTCTTTGTGGGCTGGAACTGAAGCTGCATATCCCCTGGGACAGCTGGACCCCTCTGCTTTGCTACTTCCCATTCAGCTGACCAGGGAAAACAACCTCAAAGGGCTCAGGAGAAGCCTGGTAGGAAGGAGTATGTGCCAGGCCACCTCCCCAGCCTCTGGAAGGGAGTGTGCTCTGAACAGCCTGGGGCCCAGATCCTGTGCAGGATGTGGAAAGACAGGCCACCTGATCCAGGCCTGGAGGGGCCAAGGGGCCTGATCTTTGCTTGAATGATACCTATTAGACAGACAGAGCCAGGCTGTTCTCTCCCTCTGTCCCCCAGCTCTGCACCCCTGCCTGCTATCTGTAGCTGCCTTCTCTGGGTGTTCAGCACCTATTTTTTTTCCCTCCCAGTTCTAGGGATTGAACCCAGGGGTGCTCTAACACTGAGCTATGTCCCCAATCCTTTTTTTTTTTTGTTTAATTAAAGATGTTTTTAACATTCTTTATTTTATTTATTTATTTATTTTTAAAGAGAGAGAGAATTTTTTAATATTTATTTTTCAGTTCTCGGCGGACACAACATCTTTGTTTGTATGTAGTGCTGAGGATCGAACCCGGGCCGCACGCATGCCAGGTGAGCATGCTACCGCTTGAGCCACATCCCCAGCCCTATTTTATTTATTTTTATGTGGTGCTACTGCTGAGCCATAACCCCAGTCCCTCCAATCCTTTTTTTTTTTTAAGAGAGAGAGAGAATTTTAATTTTTTTTTTTTTTTTTTTTTTTAGTTTTTCGGCGGACACAACATCTTTGTTTGTATGTGGTGCTGAGGATCGAACCCGGGCCACACGCATACTGCTTGAGCCACATCCCCAGCCCCTCCAATCCTTTTTATTTGGGACAGAGTCTAAGTAACCCACGCTGGTCTCAAACTTGATGGTTCTCCTGCCTCAGCCTCTTGAGTTGCTGGTGTTATAGGCATGTGCCACCTGCCAGGCTCAGTCACTTTCTTGGTGTTTCTTCAATCAGACCTCTCTGGCCCCTCTCCCCTGCCCACTTAGTCTTTGATGTTGCCGAGCTCCAGGGGAGGTGTTTTGATTTTTTCCCTCCTGCTGGGATGTTCTGAGATACTTAATACTTGACCATGTCCTCCCTGCTTCCCCCTGGCCACCTGGCACAGGGAAAGAACATGGAAAGAGGGTAGGATGGGGGACAGGGGGTGTCAGAAGATCTTGGATATATCACTGCATTCCTAACCCTAGAAAGCGGTTAGAGGAGGGGAGGGAGTGGGCTTGTAACACCTGTTTCTTGAGTTTTCAGTTTCCTCTCCCTCTCCTCTTCAGGGAATATCTTGCTAAGACAAATCATTCTTTTTTTTTCTTTTTGTTTTATTCATTTATTTATATGTGGCACGGAGAATTGAACCCAGTGCTTCACACATGTATGGCAAGCATTCTACCACTGAGCCATAACCCCCGCCCTGACAAGTCAATTCTTCTTTCAAGTCATCTCATGTGTGTCCACCATCCAGTCCTCTCCCTGCTGTCCCAGCCCTCCTTGGTCCATTTCTTTTCCGTGAGTATTCTGTAAACCAGGCTACTTCCTCTTCCAAAATGAAACCCCATACCCATTAAGCAATGCCTCCTCACTTCTCCCTCCCACAGCTTCTGGCTCTAATCTGCTTTCTGAGTGGACTTACCTAGTTCATGTAAGTAGAATCATACCATACTTGGCATTTTGTATCTGGTGTCTTTCACTTAGCATAATATTTTGGAAATCCGTCCATGTTGTAGCATGAATCAGCATTCTATTTCTTTTCACGGTTGAATAATATTCCATTGTATGGATAGAACACATTTTGCTATCCTCATCAGCCTGACAACTCAGGATGTTCCACCTTTTGGCTATTGTGCACAGTACTGTTATGAAAACCAGAGTATGAGTACCTGCTTTCAATTCTTTGGGGCATATACTTAGGAATGGAATTGCTGGGGCACATGGTAACTCCGTGTTTAACTTTTTGAGGATGATATGGTGTTTCAACTCTTGAATCTGAATGCCTTTGGGTATCCATCTCTGTCTCTGTTTCCACCTATTTTTGTCTTCTTTCACCCAGCCCGGTTGGACTCATTTACATTATATGGCCCCTGAAAGCATCTGAATTTGCTATCCCTACATTAAAACAAAATCCAAGCCCCCCCCCCCCTAGTGCCCAAATCAGCTGCTGAGAACTAGCTGAAGGCGTCGAGCAAATCTCTTTACCTTTCAGAGTACTATTTTGGCTCAGCCTCAAAAAATGAAAATAGTGCTTACCTGATAGCAGGCGGCAAGGATCAGAGAGGTGATGGACCCAACGAGCCTCTTCCGAAGCTGTTTAGTTCTGGCAAGAGAGAGAAAGGCGGGTGAGGACAGGAGGAACTGGAGAAGGAGGAGCGGGCGAGCTGGCCAGGAGACTTCTGGGGCATCGGCGGTGTTTGAGGCTTCGAACCCACCCGAGTCCGAGCCGGCGTGCCCAGAAGTGGCAGCCGAGCGGTGCACAGCAGCTAAGGGACCCTAGGCCCCAGCAGATCAGTACTGGTCTGTGCGCCCCGACTTGGGGCGGGGCTCAGGTTGGATTACCGGTGGGCGGGCGCTGTCCCCCCGTCCCCGCCCCCCACATCCGGGGGCCGGGGCCGGGGCCGGGGCCGGGCTCAGGGCTTGCCGCGCGCCGGTGAGTCAGGCCGGGTTTTCCCTCCTCCTCCAGGGCAGGCGAGAGAGTGCCGCCGGTCGCGTCCCTTCCTCGCCAATCCGGCTCCGGCGCCTGTCCTCCCGCCCGCCGCCCGCGTTTTCTAGGTGCCTGCCTCTCGGCCGCGCCGGCCCGGCTAGCAGTCTCTGCTGGAATCGGCGCTTCGGAGGAGGGTTCAAATCCGCCCAAAGGAACAGCGGCGCACCCGGGCGCGGAGCGGCGGGCGGCGAGCGCTGCGCCAGCATGGTAAGTGGGGTGCGCTAGGGGCCGGAGGATGGACGCGCGGGGCAGGGAGGGTCGCCGAGTTCTCGCTTTTCGGGTGTCCTTGGCCACATTGCAACCCCTAGCTGGCCGAAGCTCGCGTCTGAAAAATGGGCGGGGATGGCAGCGTGCGGTGTGCGCCCAGGTGTCTTCAGCTCCTGGGCGCCGTGTTGCGCTGGAGAGGCAGGCGGCAGGTTACGCTCTTCTCTGCAACCCCTGTAAACGCGCTTTTCTTGGAACATCGCCCAGGACCCCTGCGCCACCGCTGGGTGGGGCAGGCGCCCTTGGCGAAGAAGTCTGACCTCGGCCTCCGCCCCCTTGCCCAGCGACTCGCGTCAGGCCCCAAGAAGCAGGAGGAAAGAGGAGCGTCCCCCCCCACCTCGCCTCCTAGGTAGCTCGAGGACTTCCAGTGGTTCTGAGGATTCCTTTCCTTCTCCACTGCCTTCCCGGGAACAGTTCTGTGGGGGATGTCAACCTCCTCTTCTCCGCCTTCCCCTCTCACCCGCCCCGCCCCCAGTATTCCTCCTTTCTCCCCCTAGTCCCTTGCCCGGTCCCGGCGATAGCTGCGGACTTGAGGATAGGGAACATTCCTGGGTCTTGGCGATTTGGACACTGTACCAATCCGGGCCAGAGCCTTTGATCAAAGCGAGGGCCAGTCTAGGACCATGTGGAAATTAGGGCTCTAGATATATCCGGAAGGAGACCTGAGACACCCTTACTCCCAGCCCATAGGAAGAGATTGGGCCTGGCCGTCCTGGGGCAGGAGCAGAGGCAAGAGACCATTCTGAGCTCTGTGAGCACCCTCTTTCCAGTGCCTTCCCAGGCAGGACTCCTTTGCCTACTGGCTGCGTGTGGGTGTGTTAAGTGCGAGACTGAATGAATGCCGCCAACCGGCTCCCGCCACCGCCTCTAGCAGCTTCCAGAGCTTAGAGTCCTCATGCCAGCCACACTTCCACTATTTCTTCCTGACCCTCAGGGCCAGGCAGGAGGGATCCTAGGCCAAAGGGACTTCCATCCAAACTAGCCTGATGGCAGATGCCCTTGAGAGAAACAGGCGGGGGTGGGGGGGGAGGGGGCTGGGCAGTCTACATAATACAGCAATGTCCATAGAAGGTGACCCCTGGCTGAGACAGCCTGATGCAGTACAGAAGGCTTTGCCCAGAGAGTTGAGATTGCCTCTCACTGTGGGATTTGGGGCAATTAATTTCCTCTTTCTAGGCTGTAAAGTCCAGATAGGGTCATCACTGCCCTGCCTGCCTCCACTAGCTGTTGTGAAGATGACATGAGATAACAAAGTGGAAGGGCTGAAAAAAACTGTAGTGTGCTGTGCACCTGTGAATGACTGCACAGGTTAGTTGCTTGCAGAGGTCAGCTGCCAGGCTGCGCCTCTTCAAGTGTCTCATGGGGATTGAGTATGCCAGCCTCTCCCATTCCCTCTCCAGGCCCCATCACACACTGCCCCCTCTTTTGGAGCTGGGACATTCCAGTCTCATTCCTTTGGGGCAGCTGCAGACACACCCCTCAGCCTGGCTGATCCTTTAGCAGGTGGTGGGACCCTCCCCTGGGGCCAGGGCTCTGGAAGGCCTAACCCAAGCCAAAGCTGGCAGGACTCACCCATATGGGGGTTGGGATGTGCATGGAGTCAGAGAATCTGGGAAGCCTGTGCACTTTCTCCTATGCAGCTAATCATGACCTTGGATACATTATTTCCCCTTCTGGGCCTCAGTTTCCTCTTCCAAAGTGAGGGATGTCAGTACTCCCCTCGTATGTGCATTTCGAAGAAGGGCTAGTCCTCGGGGTCTGGAGCCGGAATGTCCCACTGCATGTCCTCTCTTCCTTTGCTTTGTGGCCAGGGCAGCACTGTTCTACCAAGGGTTGGTTCAAAAGAGCTGTGCCTCTATGTTCAGGGCTGTCCATGCCATCTGCTAATCTTGGGGGTAAAGTGGGAGGGAAACAGGAGTGAAAAGTCCCTTCTGGAGCCATCTGGGGCCTGTGAAAGATGTTCCTCTAATGACCTAGCCTAAACTCAGCCAGTTGGATGGTGGTGGATTTTTAGCTCTGTGCAGAGATCTGGGCAGGCACAGAAGCCCAGGCACTTCTGCTCTCTTGTCTTTCTGTGCCTAAGTCCCAGGGAGACTGCATGGTACTTGCTGTCTCTCCCGCCCTCCTCCTTCACCAAATCCTCTCCAGCCCCGCCTCACAGCCCTGACCTGAGCAGACATTCCCACGGGCTTCCAAGCAACGCAAGGGAGGAATGTCTGTGTGTTTGGGGGAGGGTGTGGAGGTGGGATGGATCCTTTAGGAAAAGCGATGGTCCCTAGATTGAGACCTAGGCAGAATGGAGTCTTCTTGAAGCAAGGGATTCAATCCTGCTGTGGAAGCTGAGAATATAGCTAGAGATGTTACCCAGGAGGGGTGGACAGTGGAGGGTGGGGGCTTAAGGAAAGACAAAGGGAAGGGCACTCTTTGTGCCCTTCAATCTCTGTACTGCTTCTAATAGTTGGCCTCACACTCCCCATTCAGCATCAGCACACCAACATGTGCATACACATTCCTAGCCAGGTGCGGGGAGGATCCCTCAGTCTTCATGCTGGGGTGTTCCTCTGTTATGTCTGTGTCCTTGAAGGTGCTCAGTGCTATGTGGTGACCTTGTGCATGATACTGTGGCTGTCCTGTGTCCTGTACCATAGGTTTCTCCATGATGAGTGGGGACATTGTGTTCCCTGTGTGTTCATAGGCATTGTTATGGTCCACGGCTACAGCTGCTCCTCTGGACCTGAGACCCTTGCTGGGACGCATAGTGTCAGCCTGTCAGTTATTTATCTCTGAGGACAGAAGTGAGCCTTGCCAGGGGAAGGCTTGGTGGTATGGGTTTGGGGTGAGGTGGGCGTATTTGGCTTCACTGCCAATATCCCAATCCCCTAGTCACACTGGACTTAAACAATTTGTTCACAAGATCCTTTCACTTCCATTTGACATTGACTGCCATGGTAACCCTAGTAGGAAGGCAGGGCAAGATGTGGAAACTGAGGCATGTCAAAGGGAGATGTATTAGTGCCTAGGGTCCCACAGAGAGAGAAAAGGAGGGGCAGCTGGAGATCAGCTTCTTTGCTGTCCTCTCTCTGAGAAGGAGTGACAGATCAGTGCACCTTTAAATAGAGTACTGTCTTCCTGGGCAGAGGTGTTGTAGCAAGGGGCTGTCAGATGGGGAGGCAAGATGACACACTTTCAGTTCTTTTGGCTGTGGGTGACATTCTGGGTCCCTAGTAGACATTAGGTAGTCATGGAGTTGGAATCTCAGGCATCCTCACCCCAGTAGCTCTGTGACCTTGGACAAGTCACTTCACTTTACTGAGCTCCAGGGACCCTACCTTTAGAAAAGGACATTAACTATGTCACAGGAAGTGCCTTATCACTGAAGGAGCCCAGCACCTGTGATTCCTTAGCTGGATGAATCTCCTGGGGCTGGGGTGTACTGACTCAATCTTGTGCCCCACCTCAGGGCTGGGGTCTGGGAAAAGAAGACTGAGAAGATTATTTTTGCCCAGGGTGTGGTTGAGAGCTGTAGAGTGGGGGTAGGGGACAGGGCCCGCCCTCCTTCTCCCTCTCAGAGAGCTTTGTCTTCCACAAACACAAAACCTGGAAATGGTTAAGGAAGATGGAGCCTCCTAAGGACCATTGTTTTGGGGTAGGATTGGGTGTCCCGGAAGTATATTGGATGGGTGGTGGGGGACTTTCAGCTGCAGCCTGCCTGCTGGGCATCTGTTCTGGAATGGGAGAAGGGACAATAGGGTAAGAGGCAGAAAAGGAGGCAGTCAAACAAGTTATTTGTATCTGCGTTAGGGTGGGCATTGGGCTGAGCACATGTTCCATTGAGGACCCTAGGTACCCACCCATTTCATCCTCCAGTGTATCAGGCCCAGCACAGGTGGGAATAAGCCTGGTCACTTGGCAGTGTTTGTGTGTGACTAAGCTCTGCTTCAGCCAGCCTGCGTTGACCCTGGCTGCGGGCCAGGCCCTGGACAGGGTGCTTTGTCATGTTATCTCACCCTATCCTTCCAGCATCCCTCTGTGATAAGAGCTATCATTGCCATTGTACATATGCATGAAACCAAGGCTTATAGAGGTTAGGGGCATGGCCAAGGTCACACACCAGTTGGTTCTGCTCTGGGTCAGGATATGGAACCTGTTTGGCCTTGTGGTGGGCTTTGGTGTAATAGCAGCAGCACACAAGGCATAGCAGGGGTCCAGCTGCCCCTTCCCTCTGCCTCCCACCACTGCCCAGACCTGAACACCTGTTCCGGAAAACTCAACCATTGTTCCTCCCTTAGGCCCTTCCTGTTTGTATCGTCATCCTTCCTCCCTGTGGGCCCTTCCTGTTTGTATCCCTCCCACTGTAGCCCCCAGCCCCACCCATGCCAGATGTTTCCCTGAGGGAGCTCTGACCCTTTACTGGAAGAGAGGCTGGACAGGTTATCTCAAGGGAAGGAGAAGAAATAAAGAGTCCATCTGGGGCTGGGAGTGGTGGTGCATGCCTGTAATCCCAGCAGTTTGTAAAGCTGAGACAGGAGGATTGCGGGTTCAAAGCCAGCCTCAGCAAAAGCAAGGTGCCAGGCAACTCAGTGAGACCCTGTTTCTAAATAAAATACAAAATAGGGCTGGGGATGTGGCTCATTGGTTGAGTGCTCCTG